ATTACAGTCTTTTTTTGATAAAGGCTTGGGTTTGCTGTCCTGTCTCGGTAGTCACTAATGACCTTAAGATGCTGCTGAGAAGGAAGTGGGTTTTAGCCCACGTGTCCTGTTTTGTCTTTGTACTTCATGCAGTGCCATAGTTCCTGAATACTTCCAGGATTATATTAAGCAGACTAACATCTGTAAAATAACTAACATGTGCTGTGCTGTTTTTTGTTTCCTCCCCAGGGAAGATGTGTGGCAGAGTGGCTTGTTTTATTTTAAATGGACTTCCAAAACAACAAAAAAATCACATTAAAACAAACCACCCTGACATAGGTCATCTTTGAGAGCTCAACAAAAGCACGATACATGTGCACATATAAGGTAAAGTCAAAGAAATGTGCCATGTGTTCAAGCGGAAGGCAGCAAGGTGGTTTTTGGCCCTTCCTTCCAATGTGAGTTTGTTCAGCGGACCAGTCTGGAGAAGGCTCCTCATCCTGAGCCAATGAGCTGCACTTCACTGTTGAAAGTTTCCCTGAGCTAAAGGATCAAAGCTGCTGGCTTGAGCCTTCAGTCTGGAGCTCTCATCAGCCTCTTGGGCACAATGTCTCGTGCTGCCTGCTACCGTTTTTAATCAAACTCAGTGAGTGCAGTTCTCAGCAGCCGTGCTTTGGGTTGGCTGCCTCTTAAGCAATCTGTTGTGTGTATGTTTGTATTTTCCCCAAATGCTTTGTGAGTCTTTGGACTCAAAGATGTGCAGGAAAATACAAGGTGATTTCTTTTTTAATCAAACAAGGTTCAAGCAGATTTTTGTACATGGAGCTGAAATTTTGTTGCTTGCTTTCTTTGCCTCATAGCTGTAGTTCTCCAAAGTATTCCCATCCTGCATACCTCAGCTGACAAAAGTTTCCCTTAAACTTATTCATAACTTATTATTTTCAGTACTCCTTTTTCTATTTTTATCCTTCCTTTTATTAGTATCAGAATGACTGTTTCTGTGTCAGTGTGTTTTATGTACATCATACTTTCATTTGTAAAACATTGCTGTTGTATTGCTGATGATGACCGTATTATTTCTAACAAGACTTGCTAGGTAGTCCTGTTTACAGAAGCTTAAAACTTTAGGCTGTGTAACTGGTTTGGATTAATCCTAGAGTAGTTTAGTTTTGGAAGGGAACTCTGCATGTCATCTGGTCCAACCTCACACTGAGAGCAGGGCCAATTTCAAAGTCGTATTAGGTTGCTCAGGACCTTATACTTACTGCTGACATCCTGGCAATAATTGTAATTATGAAAATTGTAATTAGAAAAACCTTATATATGCTAGTATTCCTTTACCATTGTTACTTTTAACCAACAGTTAAGGTTTTGTAAATGTGTACTAAACTGCTTTTTTCTTTTGCTGTTGTGGGCTATTCTAATTAAGTCTGGTTGCAAAAGTCATTGCTGTGCGTAAGTGTAGAAAAGAAATTTTCTGGTTCAACTTTTTAATGAAATCTGACTTAAGAAAAAAAAGCAAAAAAAAAAACCCTGGGTGATTTTAGTTGTAATGTATACTTAGCACAGTTTGTGGGGTTTATTGCTTGTTTGCATACCTGTTCTGTAAAGGATGGTGAAAGCAAGCACTTGTTGAATGAGAACCAGCAGCTCCCGTGTGCACCCCTGCGTGTTCCTGCAGCACAGTTTGGCTACACGACAGCTCCATCTGCTGTTCTTGAATTGCAGCTTTCCCTTTGTGTCCAAACCTTTCACGTCACAATTTATATTGATTCTTGTGCTTCTTCCCTCTGACTTAGTACATTTTCAAACAGTTTTTACTCTCGTGAGGAGATACTCCTTAGGACACCTCCAAACTGTTTTGATGTTCTGGATTCAGAATTTCTTTGAATTTCTTTGCAGTAACCAGCAGTTGTGACATCTCTCTCTTTCTCTGTCTGCTTTACAATGTCCTGGTTTCAGCTGGGACAGAGTTAATGTTCTTCCTAGTAGCTGGCACAGTGCTGTGTTTTGGATTTAGTGTGAGAACAATGTTGATAACACACCGATGTTTTAGTTGTTGCTAAGCAGTGCTTACACTAGTCAAGGACCTTTCAGCTTCCCATGCTCTACCGACTGAGAAGGCTGGAGGGGCACAAGAAGCTGGGAGGGGGCACAGCCAGGACAGCTGACCCCAACTGGCCAAAGGGACATTCCATACCATGGGATGTCATGCTCAGTACATAAACGGGGGAAAGCTGGCCGGGGGGGCCGCTGCTCGGGGACTGGCTGGGCATCAGGTGGTGGGTGGTGAGCAATTGCATTGTGCATCACTTGCTTTGTATATTCTTCTTAGTATTACTATTATTATTAGGTTTTTATTTTCTTTCAATTATTAAACTGTTTTTATCTCAACCCACAAGTTTTCTCACTTTACTCTTCCAATTCTCTCCCCCATCCCACTGCAGGGCGGGGGAGTGAGCGAGCAGCTGTGTGGTGCTCAGTTGCTGACTGAGGTTAAACCACGACATACAAACATTAGGGTTATTTTTAGTCTTGTTATGTGTCTTACCCTTGCAAAGACAAGTTACTACAAGGTATGAAGCCCCATCATCTAGCAATAAAGGAGTTCCTGCTCTTCAGTTGAGTAATAGGTACTACTGATTTTTTTATTTATTTTTTTTCTGGAGAAGTCTGGACTTGTGTCTGTGCTGCCTGGGATCTTACATGTGTCCGTGGTTTGATGTGTTATGAATATGATGAACAGAGGCAGTTTAGCTGCTGTGAGGCTATCAAAATTTTACAGATTGAGGGAATAATGGGAAAGAAGAATGTCACTGATGGCAGTGAGTGAGTCTACAGCGTGGCTCAGAGTCAAGATGGAGAAACGTGACACTTTGGTCAACGTGGTTACTAAAACCAGCAAAAGAAAACTTAAATTCCTGTACTTTTCTCCCTCTCAGTATTGAGAGGCAGACTCACTAGAGCACTGGGATTTTGGGGTTTGTTTTGTGGGAATAGACTGACAGATCACATCACAAGGAAACCATAGTAAATCATATCTCTAAAAATTAGCCATCATTTGGGAAAATATATTCCTATTGGAATATTACTATCCTAATTTTCCAGCTCCTGTGGAATAGGAACAGTAAGATGGACTTTAGAATCTCTTCTGCGTAATACCCCATTGAATAACCTCAGCCTGGTGCTAAAAGGATGCTTATCCATTAAAATATTCTGATTTTTCTCTCTCTCCCCCTCCTGCCCCCCCCCCCGCTATGTTTTTTGTCTGTTGCATATTAAGCTGCCTGCACTGAGAAGATTTTGGTACATACCTTCGTAGTTCAGGAAAGTTGAGTACTTTTTGTGGTGTAGTCTTGTAGTTGGTGCTGTGGCTTCAGGCAGGAAGGATGCAGAATCAAGTTTTAAAGCTAAATATTTAATTTTAAATGATTCCATAAAAGGTAGACAGGACATATGAGCCTATTTTTTCTTATCTCTGGCTAGCAGCCTAACCAGAAAAGTTAAATAGAAAAAGATACTTCTCCCCTTTACAAACAGACCTGGAACAAAAGATGTATTAGTTGTACTTTCTAATAGTGTTGGAGTTTATTGAACTATACTATGGTTTTTATTACATGTGCCTTATCTGGAGTACTGCATTCAGCTCTGGGGCCCCCAACATAAGAAGGACATGAACCCGTTGGAGCGAGTCCAGAGGAGGGCCATGAAGGTGATGGGGGGCTGGAGCACCTCTCCTGTGAAGACAGGCTGAGACAGTTGGGGTTGCTCAGCCTGGAGAAGAGAAGGCTCTGGGGAGACCTTATTGCAGCCTTCCAGTACCTGAAGGAGACCTACAAGAAAGCTGGAGAGGGACTTTTTACAAGGGCATGTAGTGATAGGAGAAGGGGTAATGGCTTTAAACTGAAAGAGGGTAGGTTTAGATTAGATATTAGGAAGAAATGCTTCACTATGAGGGTGGTGAGGCACTGGAACAGGTTACCCAGAGAAGTTGTGGATGCCGGAAGGGTTCAAGGCCAGGTTGGATGGGGCTTTGAGCAACCTGGTCTAGTGGAAGATGTCCCCTGCCCATGGTAGGGGCGTCGGAACTAGATGACCTTTAAAGGTCCCTTCCAACCCAAACTATTCTGTGATAATCTATGATAATCCTTTTCTTTAGTTGTCCCAAGGTCTTATGACCAAAGACTCTTTCAGTTGCTGACCTTGTTCTGCCGTTCTACATCTACTCACTCTTGATTATGCTTGATGTAGAACGTGAAACTAAAATAATAATAACTGTGCAAATGAAAAAGGAGCAGGTGAGTTGTCAGTGTAAAATAAGCCCAGCATATGTTGTCAGCGCTTGAATTCAATGGAAGAGCCCTTAAATATGCGCATGACAACATCACCACGTACTTATGAGTAAGTAGTAAATGGTCCCACTGAGCAAAACTGTAGAACGTGCATAAACTAGTTTTATTTGAGTCTGGAAGCAGTTACTGAAGTTAAATTATTCAGGGCGAAGACCTTGTCTCTTATGTCTGTCAAGACCATGCACAGACCTTCAGCTGCTCCTGCTGTTCTGCTAGCAGTGAGCTGCAACGCAACTGTCCTCTCACTTCAGTCCAAGAGTGAGTAAGCTTTGAGAGAGTTTGGAAAAGACACTTTGCAGCAGATTGTATATCTTAAATAAGTTCCTGCACTCTCTTTGACTAAAAGCAAATATAAGTACATGGTGTGGAGTAGCTGGATCCTGCAGGTCAAGAGTTAGGCTTTCCTGAGCTGCCTGGAGGAATCTGCCTAGCAGTTAGGTCACTGTTAGCAGCGAGTGGTTGGATTTGTGTGCGATTTGCCGCTTTTTAACATTAACTTGCAGATGTTCTCAAAACAAAATGTGAAAGGTTGGTTCCTGGAGCATCCGAGAGATTTGGCAGAGTTGTCGGTGTAAAGGCAGATGGGTGAGCAGAGATGTTCAAGCCAGCAGATGTCAGGCTGTTACCGCCAGCAAGAAACAATATGAAAGGAAAAGATGCTTTGTGCTGATGGAAGTCAAAATTGGGAAGCTACAGGTCATCTTCAACTGATGAATAAAAGTAGTGATGATTTGTGAATACGTGGTAACTAAGCAGCATAGCTCTTCTGGAGTAGTTTTGTGTTTTGGTTTGGGTTTTTTAATTTTTTTATAGTAAAAGCCTGTGTGGGTATTCCAGAATAACATTATGCCCATGCAGGGAGTTACCTTGTAAAAGCAAGTGATAAACTTTCCAGTATGGATGAATGCTTGGGGAAGGGTCAAGGGGAATAGTGCATACAAAGCAGTGTGAATAAAAGCTGACAAACTGACCTTAGGAATTGACATTAAATTTCTAATGAGTGAATAAAGCTAACTCTGTGGGGTTTGGGTTAGGTGGTGTGTATAGGCTCGCAGTATTTATGGGGCAGTGGAAAAAATTGGGGAGGGTATGTGAATTAGTGAAAATTGCAAGGAGAGAAGAAGCACTCCATAAAACTATCTGAAAAATCTGTCAATAGCACAAGAAGTACAGAGAATTAGTATTTTCTAAGAATTTAAAAAAAAAAAAACAACAAACACTTTCTAACAAGAATCTGTTTAAATTTCAATCTTATGCCAAAAGGGGGAGAGAAGGAGGGGGGGGGGTTTTTTTGTTTTTTTTTTTTTTTTTTTTTTTTGATACTTCGTGACCCCTCAGCAGATTTGTCTGATTTCCTAAATATATTTAGAATATCTCATGTTAAGTATGATACTATAAAAAGGGCATGGATGGTTTTTTTTTATAGCTGAAAATGGCATTTCTCCTTCAATGTATACGCCTGTAATTTTGGCTGGTTTCCTTCATAAAGCAGAAAAACTTTGATGTGTTTGGAATCTAAGAATATAAATTCAATGTCATATTTTATCTTAGTAAAACTCTAAGAATATAAATTCAATGTCATATTTTTTTATATTAGTAAAATGTTCTTGCTTTTCTTTATTTTTCAACTGCAAAGTGACTGTCAGCACTTGCAGTGGACTTCATGGTCAATCTTAGCTTTCCGAACATGTTGTTTTTCCTTGTTCTTACAGATTGATCACTTTGGATTTGATGAAAATCTCACGTTCCAGCAGCGGTATCTAGTAGCAGATCAGCACTGGAAGAAAGACAATGGACCAATACTATTTTATACAGGCAATGAAGGAGACATCACGTGGTTCTGCAACAATACGGTATGTAGAAAATAGGTTCTTGATTCTTGAATTACAATCCTTCTTTCCAGTAGTGGCCTACTGAAAAATAGGGAAGAACAAGGACACAATGTCAGAATACCATTGAAAAAGAAGTTTGTAATGGTTGTTATGATTGTTATAGGAGGAAGAGGAAGCTGAAAAAGCACAGAAAAAGTTTTAGGGGGTTCAGGGTCCTATTCGAAGCCCACAGAAATCAAAGGGATGCACTTGTATTAACTTCCTGGAGTAGTGAAAAAAATTTCTTCAAGGTGCCTCAAGTTAAGAATGCAAAATTTTGGACCAAATTACACCTATTCCAGTACTTTAGATTCCCCAAGTAAAATGGGAGGTTTTGATGTTCGGGGTTTTTTTTCCTCCATAAGAAAAATGTGAAATGAAATGAAGGGGACTGGAAATCAAAGATAGATGATTCTTGTTCTCTGACAAGACCTGTGGAAGTTTTTACTTCCCTGACTGATACAAATGGAGAATGGCACGTGTGGGCATTTTTCAGCCACTTCAATACAAAGTCCAGTAACACAACAGGAGGTGGCATGTGCTGGGCTCAAAGCAACCAAGGACGGCTTACACGCTTTGTTCTGTCAGCAGGTGATCTCTGTCTGCCTGTTTCCATAACTGGTGGTAACAAGCTGCTGTCAACAAGTAATAACAAGTTGTAGTTATTTATTAGTTGAAAATAAGTGTATTGCAATGCTCTAGATTATTGCTTATTGCCAAACAAATTTTGTATTTTCTGTAATGTAGTCCTAACTCAAATGCATGCTTTTCTCCTGTAGTGTTTTTATTTCCTATGGATTAAGCTCGTGCTGTAGGAGTTCTGGCAGTGTGTACTCACAAAACAATACTGTTTAATATTTTGCAGCATTAAAATATACATATTTTCTTCTTATGTGTTACTGTCTCTGGGTAGATACCTGTTTTGTGTGTTTTCTTACTTCAGTGATACTTTAAAACCAAATTGCACTCTATCTTTATAGTTGTATTTTGATACCGATATCTTTCTAATCAAAGAATAAGAGTTGGAATACACTAGAGTGAAAGTAGAGACTTTGAAAATAATTGATTCAACTTACTGAAATGTACGTTTTCCGCCAAGCAGGGTTTTATGTGGGATGTGGCTGAAGAACTTAATGCCATGTTAGTATTTGCTGAACATCGATATTATGGAGAATCTTTGCCCTTTGGGAATGAGTCTTTCAGTGTAAGTGTCTTTTTTTTGTCTTCCTTAAATGTGTTCTATGCAAACATAATTCTGCCTATTGTAATTCTTGCCAGTGCAATGACTGTTAGCCTGAGTAAGATTTAGATGTGCTAGAAGCACACAACTATCCTATTTTTGTAACTAGCAATTCTAGGATAAAAAAAAAACAAACTGAGATTTTTCTAGCACTTCAAGTGACACCTGCAAAGAATATTTCATTTGTTAGGCACAGATTTAGAACTCGACAGCTGCTGTGGGGAATAGAAAGACTGCTGCTGGAAATCACTCCCATGCTGTATATAACCTGCTTTCTTTGTCTCAGGATTCCAGGCATCTGAATTACCTGACATCAGAACAAGCTCTGGCAGACTTCGCAGTACTGGTTGAGTACTTAAAGATGACCATTGCAGGAGCCCGTTACAGTCCTGTCATAGCTATAGGAGGATCTTACGGAGGAATGCTTGCAGCCTGGTTTAGGATGAAGTACCCCCATGTGGTAGTTGGGTGAGTGTACTTATCCTGCTCAAACACAGAGCAGGCGTTTGTTACTTCTGTGCTATAAATATTACGGCACTGGGAGAAGTACCATAATTCAAGCTGGCTTGAATTTTTCACTATTAGGAGGAGGAATTAAGTTACCTTGAATTTGGGAAGAGACACTGTTTGCCTAATAAAGACAACTGTAGGTCAGCAGGTACTGGATGGTGTACATTTTCAGAGTTATCTGCTAGTTTTGTAAAAAACAATTATTATGAACACTGACTTTGCACCTAATTTTTTTTTTAGAGCCCCAGACTTCCTGGTGACTTGAGGCAGGTCTTCAATCTCTTCAGTGCCTTAGTTCCCCTCTGGGAAACAAGATTAGTAAATAGAACCATAGAGTAGTTTGAGTTGGAAGGGACCTTTAAAGGTCACCTAGTCCAACCCCCCTGCCACAGGCAGGGACATCTTCAACTAGAGCAGGTTGCTCAGAGCCCTGTCCAACCTGACCTGGAACGTTTCCAGGGATCCCCATGCCCATGCCATTCCAGGGCATCCACCACCTCTCTGGACAACCTGTGCCAGTGTTTCACCACCCTCAGTGTACAAAATTTCTTCCTTATGTCCAATCTAAATCTACCCTCTTTTAGTTTAAAGCCATTCCCCCTTGTCCTATTGCTACAGGCCCTACTAAAAAGTCTGTCCCTATCTTTCTCATAAGTCCCCTCTAAGTACTGAGAGGCTGCAATAAGGTCTTCCCAGAGCCTTCTCCTCTCCAGGCTGAACAACCCCAACTCTCTCAGCCTTTCTTCATAGGAGAGGTGTTCCATCCCCCTGAT